TTTATTTTTAAAAATTATTATTATAATATGTATATAAAATATAATAAATATAGATAAGTTTTCTATTATACAAGTACATATAATAAATTAATTAAACAAATTGATTAAACAAATTGGATAAACAATTATGAACCCCTATAAAACCAAAAAAAAAAATTATGAACTCCTATATTTACTATTTGATTTGATATTTAAGGCTATATTAATTTTAAATTCATTATTTACTTAAATTTTTTATAATTTAAATATACTATTTACTCAAATAAATAAAATACTTACCCCTATTTTGAACTTGGGTTATTGTGGAGGAGAATGGAATTAATAGGGGTGCAATGGCAACAGAAGAAGGCCTAAGTTGGGCCAAACTAATGAACCATGGGCGTAATAGTTTTGGAAAATAAGGCCCAGGATCCCAACCCATGTCGCCTTCATCATCTTCCTCTGCAATTTTTGAGGCAGTTCAGTTGTCGGTAGAGGGGAAAAAGTGGCGACAGGGAACATCGGATGAGCTTACGTTTGGACCCAAATTTATGCTTTTGGGTTTCAGATCCATTAGACTTTTATCAAGCCTTTACATTTTTTTAAAAGCATCTTACCCTTGGGTACAAAAATGGCACCCAATGAGCCTTCTCAGTTGAATACAGTTTATTTATTTATTATCGGCAGCTCTATAAAATTTACTTTAGGAAAATTACTAGAATATTCTTGGTTTAATATATTTTTTAACATATTTTTTATTTAATTATTAAAAATATAATACAAATATAGTCAATTCAATCCGTTTCTATATCTTATGTACAAGATTATACTTGTTTGTCTTTAATTTCAGATTAAAAAATAATAATTTTTTAACGAATGTATCATGTAATGTGTTGAACCGGAGTGTCTACCAATTACTGTCCTTTACTTCAAGCACAAACTAGAATTATTTACCTTCATGAGATATCACATTTTAAAATTATAGATAAAAAAAATCATTCTAATATTAAGAGATTTATTTTTTATCAATAGATAATTATAAAATATATAATTTGTATAGAACAAATTACACATCAGTTTTTTTTCTTTCTTTTTGTAAATTTATACATTTGTGTATCACCTATCTCTTGCCAATTTTGCCATTGAAAATAACCATTCCATTCAGCCAAACTTATTCATTAATTAGCTGGTCCTCATAAGTTCATACAATGTACCTAAATGCTTAACAGCTTAACTCCTTTTCCGAATTTAATATTCTAAATTTCTCTTCGGAGCTATATATTGCTAAACTATCTGTTACTCAAATTATGCAGTCCAGTTTTCATAGAGGTAATCACTGGTGAAGAAGAAAAAGAAGTGTAGAGAAAGATATATTTGGGAAAGAAATTTTGGAGAGGAATGTTTAGAAATTAGAAATGAATTACTTTCAAATTTCTGATACCTATCCAATCCAATATATAGAATTAAATTAGGCCTACCAAAAATGGTTAAAGAAATTATTCATAAACAATCTTATATCACAATAAGTCTTGTAATCCTTTCGCAAATATGATAGTTCTTTTCATTTGATCGGAATACAAGAATGAATATTCATCCACTTGTCTAAAGTTTTTTTTTTTATTTTTTTATTAACAGCACATTCACTCGTTTAAAGAACTTGACTATTATAAATTTTTTGTGTGAATTACAGATTGTATGTATTAACTTTTTTTTCTCTAATATTTTTTATTAAAGTGTTTTTAAGTTAATTTTTATGTATTTTAAAATTAAAATTTTCTCTAAATAATTATGAAAAACACCCTTATATTAACTTGATGCATTTAAAAAAATCAATTCATTTAAATGTTAATTGTAAAACTTAAATTTTAAATTTATTTTATAAAATAACATTTATTTACTAATAAATTATTGTGTGATCTAGCTCCGAAGACAAAATTAAAGTTTGGCAATGGCAGACACAACAACTCACCAAAATTGAGATTTTTTTTTGTTTAAGTCCTTTCTAAATAAGCAAATGAAATAACCATAAATAGAAACCAAAAAGGATTGGACCTGGAATCCAAAATATAGAAACATTCTTCACTCCTCGCATCTCCACCGACCCTAAAAATACCCCCCCTTTTTTTTCCTATAAATCCACTGATTCTAGGACTCTATATTCATTTCCAAATAAAAAATAAAAAATTCAATCTTGGTTTAGGGAAAAATCATGGGGCGGAGAAAGATTGAAATGAAAATGGTGAAGGACAGCAGCTCCAGGCAGGTAACTTTCTCAAAGCGTCGTACCGGGCTATTCAAGAAGGCCAACGAGCTCGCCACCCTCTGCGCTGCTCAGGTGGTTATTGTGGTTTTCTCCCCTGGTGGGAAACCCTTCTCCTTTGGCCATCCCACGGTGGAGGAGGTGGTGGAGCGCTTTCTAAATCAAGGTACTCCTACCAAACCTTCTATTCCTAACTTACTACGCGACACTCCTCAAGACGAGCGAGACATCAAGAAGCTTAACCACCAACTCTCCAAGCTTCTCAAGGAATTGGAGGCCGAGAAACAGAAGGGAGAAATGTTAGAGAAGGAAAAGACCAAAGTTAAGGGTGCTGAAAATTTCCAAAAACCAATCAGCGATCTTAGCCTCGTGGAGCTTCTTGACCTGAAGAAATTCATGGAGGGACTCCAAGCGAAGTTGTGGAGCCGTGCTGATGAAATGGAGGTATCGTCATCTCTGCTCCTCCTCTCACAGAATCCTGTTTCAAACAAAGCTGAGAATTAGTGAACCTAGCTGCAACAAAAATGGTGTGTCTAACAATGTCTTTAAAATGACCTATTTTCAACAGAGGTTGCTGTGGACCATCTAAATTAGAAAGGAAAAAAGTGGGAAACTTTGGTATAAATTGTCCAATTAGGCAATAATATTTGCTCAATCGCTTTCAGTTTTTCCTTTTCTTGATCATTTCTTTCCCTTTTCATTAGGTAACTAGGACTGAAATTTTGGCTGCAACCTTTGGTGCTTTGCTTCAATTAGTTAGTAACAGTGAATATATCTTACTTGGCTTCGCCAAGACAGATGCGTGCATATAAATATAAGAAAATTGTATTATATAACATAAGCTGAGACAATTATAAGAAAATTATGTAATTTTTAATGATATGGAGCTCTAGTTCTTTCCCTGGAATAGATTCACATTTATCTTCAAATAGAAAAGTCGCCATCCTTAAATTTAATAATAATTTAGTATTTGAATTAGTTGTTCAAATGGCTAATGGACAATAACTTATATTTAATAACTGGATGATTTTTATTATTTATTGTGTGTAACTAAAGTAATTCAAACAATGTTATTGATCCAAAATGTTACAATATATTTAAGTGTTGCTGTTTATAGCTTATATTGACGGCCAATGGTTTCCCATGTACCTCAGTGTTGTCTTGTTTTATTCTTTGTATTCTATTTCATACCCTTTTTTTTCGATTCAAATTTGATTTTCAAATTCTAAAGAA